TCATATATGAACAGATTTTTACGTGCACCTCTAGTTTTCTCTTCCTCTTCTCTAAAGCAGCGCAGCATGGCCTCTCCCCCTTTGCTGCCTTTTCCCGAGGATGGGGTTTATCTGGGTTTGTTACGTCACAAACCTGGGAAGTAACTTGTTGTAGTCCCTACCAGCCGTTTTTGTAGGCAAACTGACAGAATTTTAAAAGACTATATCTCCGTTTGCATTGAACTTTCAGCTTCGTAACTTTGCAGATATTGTTCATGCTCATGCTTCATGCTTCAGCAACATTACACACTATCGTTAAAAAAATGAAATCGCACTTTGTATGGGGAAACATCAAATTCTCCAAAACTGTTCACTAAGCTTACGATTAAATTTCATATTTGAAATCACCAATGAAATCTGGCAACAACTGTGTCATAAATGTATAGTTTCTTTTGCTCAAATAGCGTTATAAAAAGCTTATTTCTTAGGCTAGATCAGCCAGTGAGCATGTGCAGTCCTAGGCACACGTCTCAGAACACTGACTGTTTCTATAGGAACTTTTTTTTTGTTTTTTCTAATTAATGCTCAAAAATCAAGACCAGCACACAAAAAATAATACAACAATCAACATAAAAATTATAAACAATAATAAAGAATAAAGTAAAAACAAATAAAGAAGAAGAAAAAGGGGGGGGGGTGTTTAATACATTACAAACTGAAAAAATAAAATTGAGACTTACATATCATTAAAGATAGGAAAAGAGTTACAGACAGATAAAGTTTTTAAAGCTTTTTTGTTCTGAGACAACTGGATCGATGAAAGGTATTCTTTTCAAATTCTTGTATAAAAACAAGAAAGTTTGCATACATAATCTACCAACAAAGTATCAACCAAATTAAGAGAAACCGGTGACAAAGGATGGGTACCTCTCAGTAAAGCAACAACAGCTGATGGGATAGACCCCATAACAATGGAAAATTATTTTGGAGAGACAGGAGATTGAAAGTGATCTAAAAATTCTTTATATGAAAATAACAACCCCTGAGAGTTCATTAACTGACTGATCAACAGTATGTTTTTATCAAACCGACTCTGAAAAAATATGGATTTATTTTTGTATAAAACATTACAGTGTTTCTATAGCAACCGGGACTTCTAATGGTAGTTTCCACATTCAAAACTATACGAGTGACACGTCTTGGGTATTCTATAGTCTTCTCATCTCCCTATAATAAGACAATCTCTGGTAAGCCTTCTCTGCGCAGACGGTTCTTCAATGCGGAAGTAAGCCTATGGACGAGATTTCTGGTTCATTAGCCGTTGTAGGGAAATAACAAGAAGAATAGTCAAGCAGCAAAACGAGGTGTTTTGTACAGCTAAAAATAGCTGGACGCAGATGACACCAGAAGCCAGTCCCATAAAAATTACAAATGGCAGCGCCCACTCTTACGGTAAGAATAAGGTGAAGAAACAAAGCAACCTCGGTGTCCGATCGCAGGCCTTCCCACTCCTTGAGTTCTCTCCAGCGCTGGAAAGCTGATCTGATATTTACACGGGTCCTACTTCTTGCCTTATTGTAAGCCTTCTTTTGTTCCGCAGACATTTTCCTCTTTTGTTTTTTATCCGCCATCTCCATCTTTCTGTCGCTCGGCTAGGCTAATGTCCGTCCTGTGCACTGAGCGATCTCTCATCCCCATCAAGAGTAGACACGCCCCTTACTACTGATTGGCTACCACTTTGTTTTGGTACTCGGCCCGACTCAGTTTTCTAAAGCGTTTTTGAAAAAAATACATACCCCACCTTTAATGCGCATCTCGTATATGAAAAGCATTTTAGGGGGCCTTTGGCATTTGGGGGCCCAAGGTGGTCACCTACTTTTGCCTAATGGGTAAGTCCACCCCTGTGTCCCACCCTCACTCAATTGTTTCTTTTTTGTTGTCAGTAAAATACTCTCATGTGTGCATTAAAATCAAGTTAGTATTATTTCTTACCACAAGGAAGGAAATGTCATTTCACCTGGTTTGCAATCCAAATAACACATAGAACAGGAAAAAAACAAAGAACAATAAGGATGAGAATAACATCGCTTATAATAAAACTGTAGCAAGTGGAAAAGTGATAAGTGAAAGGTTCTCCAAGTCATCAGTGCAATGTGTGTAGACTCATGGTTGTGATGTAATCATAATGATTTCTGAACGGCATGTTTTTTCAGCCTAGTTTGGACTTGGTGGACTTATTTGTAAATCTAGTTTTCCATGATATTCTATGATTTGACCATTTTATTGATAGGCCCAGATGACAGAAGATGATGGGGAAAAGAGTAGTACTCGAAAATGATGCAAGCCAGATTTGACCTTATGTTTGGCTTCATAAGTAACGCAATTCAACATGTCAGATCATGTGTGCTGAACTCTAGGCCACAGCTCAGATGCCACTAATTAAATGATGCCATCATCATTGATCTGAGACAAAGTTAGATGTACAGCACATCTGTGTGACTGGACATTACAGTCATTTCTAATTTCCCTGGAATCTAAAAATCTATTTTCTTCTCTTTTAAAAAAAATTTAAATAATAATTGTATGTATTCTAGATGCCCAAATACTGTTACCCTCGACACTGTCAATTAAATGATGTTTCTCCTTATGCTCTTGGATTGGCTTGTAAGTGTGTCACAGTCTATTAATGGTGAAACTGTCTCTTGATGCAACCCACACCTGCTCCTCTGTCCTAATTGAATATGTGATTTGACAATTTCTTATGTGTGTCTTTGTAGTCAGGATACTCACTCTCTCTCTCTTCAGCCCAGCCTCTTTTAACTGCAGGTGTGTATGTGTTTCACAAATGGTTTTAGAGGTATTATAGAATTATTCATCAATCATGAATGTCTTCATATAACAGGGGTGCGCACTGTGCTTTCTTCCTCTTAGTTTCTTTTTCCTCTCTCTCCAGGCCCACTTGGGAAAACTTTATTATGCTTTGGTCTGACAGAGAAATATACTGATAAAAGATAATTGCCTGGCTTGACTCCTGCATTGATATGAAAATGAGATCTAAATTATACAGTATGGTTTAAAGGTTAGTTGAAGGTTATTTCTGAAGGGAAGCTATGAAAAGAGAAAGCAGCTATGTTTGCTGTGCATGCTGTGTGCTTGTGTGAATATATTTTTGTGTGTGATCAACGTGATCTCATGATAATTCGTATGTATTTTACGTAAAATGTGGTTCTATAAAACGTACATTTACTTACGTTTTTACAGGCACTAAAACGTACAATACTTACGTATTTTCCGCATCTAAACGTACAAATACTGACGTATTTTCAGAATTTAAACGTACAAAACTGACGTATTGACACCTAAAAATTAATCCTTATGAATATTGAAATCGCGGCATTAATTTGATTAGTTTTTAGTTGTCATATGAATTACCTTGTTTTCAATTGCATTATTAAATTGTTTAACGTTACTCATTTACTTATGAAATGATAGCATTTCGTTTTGTTGTGATTTCTGCTGCCAGCTCGTTTCCAAGTCATGTTAATCGTGCTCTGTAATCCAAATCTTCCAAATCCATACGACTGCGAGGAACAGACCCAAATCCAAGCCTTTATTCTGCGATCTGCTTCTCCATCCCTAGCAGCGAGTCCAGTGACTGAGCAGCAAATCCCGCGCTGACTGACGCGCTCTTTACGAATTCAAATGTTGCCGCTTCAAACGACAAAAGATACGTAAATATTTTTACGTTTTTTAGCTAAAAATACGTAGCGATTTGTACGTTCTAAACGTTGAAATACGTCTAAATTGTACGTTTTAGCATTAATAAAAACGTACAAAAGTGTACGTTTTGTGCTTGTAAATGTTACGTATTAATACCT